TTCAGCTATCTTGTATCGGAGATCACAAAACGATGGTCGTCATTGGCTTATCTCCATGTGAGTGAGCCCCGAACGGAGGGCGACCGAGACAGGGCAACCAGAGAAGGGGAGGTAGGTTCTCCGGTTAGTGATGGATGGACGAATCCCCGCTGATCACTCTCTAGTCAAACGATTTCCTGAGAGAAATTTGGGGCGAGCGGCCGTTCATAAGTGCTGGTGGCTACAATCGCGAGCTCGCCTTAGAAGCTGCCGAGACGAAGGGTGACTTAATCGCTGTCGGCAGACTCTTCATCTCGAACGTACGTCGGCGACGTGTGCTGGTAGCCCTGTATGGTATTGATCATGTTGCGTTTTGCAGCCTGACTTGCCGGTGCGATGGCAGAAGAATATCCCCGCCGACAAGGGCGATCGTTCGGCATACTACACCTTTGAAAGCCCGCAGGGGTATATCGATTACCCTTTCGCTGACGGTTCGGTTGCCCCTGAACGGTTCAAAAAGGTCCCTAACTAAGCGTAGATGTGTCGTTTTGATCCAGTCGGTCTTATTTTGAGATGTGAGATAGGACCCATGACAATTGGTGGGAGGGCCTGAGGACAATCCGTACCCAAAACGGCCATCGGGACCCCTCACGCGGAGGGAAAATCCGTACCCAAACCCGGCCGGTAGGCCGGGAGCTCTGAGGAATTGTCCATACCGGCCAACGAAAACTGACTAATGTCTGAGGGCAATCCATACCCGGTAGTCTGGACAAGTGTCGGTGTCCTTCCGGGTTAATTACCCAGCTTTAGATCCAATACTACCTAACTTGAGTGGATTTGTCACAATCTTGTGCACATCGTGGCGCCGCCGAGCTTCTCCGTCAGCCTCTGTAGTGTACGCCTTAAATTGGGACCTGAGAATGATAGAGACAAAGACCGAGAGCATGAAGAAGATATTTTGAAGGCCAACGATAATTAATGCATCTGTATCTGTACATGGCCTCTGAAGTATGACCCAGCTGTATTAACAAGTCAACCTGTCGACCACCGGCAGGCGGCGGCGGCGGCGCGCAGGCCCAGTCTGCTTCCGCTGTTGGTGCAACAAACCCCTAGCCGCACCTCTGCTCGATGTTGCGCGAAGCATGGAGAGAAGCGGCGGGCGGCGGTAGCGGCGGCAGCTGCAATGACGACAGAAGAGGCCGAGGACAATGGTACTCCTGTAATATATATTTGTGTATCATACATGAGTATACTATGCACGAAGGAATAACAGGCATAGTATGGGCGAGGAAACTGATAGGCCTGAGCTAGAGTCCGTACTATTTTGGGCTCGTCGTGCAAATTTTGTCCGTACCTAAAGGCCAAAACCGGCAAAATCTGTCCTCAGGCCTTCCCACCAATTGTCACGGGTCCTTGTGAGATAGATAGGTATATGAATTTGACGAACAGCCAGAAATTGTTTGCACGACAGTGACGTCATTTCACGACGGGGCGTACTATGAGCGTCAAAGCCTTCGGTTGCCGTTTGCGGCCGACTGACACTAGGGGGAAAAAAGGTAGGTCAAAACAACCGCTATAGATCACACCTCGAGCGCTCTAACCGCTGCATAACGCAGCTTTATATCGCAGTATATCGCAGATATATGGCAAGATAGTGGCTGCTATTGTCATCTATCGCTTTATAAATACTGCGACCTCACACGAAGGCTGCAGTATCAATTCCACGGCCCACAGCGCGGCCTGTCTCTGCAAACTCGCGACGAGCTGGACGTGCACCACGACTTGCTCTAGGGGATGGATGAGTAATGTGACCGCACCTGAGACAGGCTCAGCCAGACTCGGTGGAAGCTCGACAGGGCTGCGCGTGGCGACAAAGAGAACAGTGTGTCTCCGGTCTCTCGCCACCGGTTGTCACGCTTATCAAGACTGGGCAGGTTCGACAGCCATAATCGGTCTGATCATCCTTACACTCGTCCTGATTAGTATTGCACTCAAGACGTGACCCCTCTACGTCCCTCATGACATCCCTCTTGATTTGTAGAAATACAGCTACACCGCTACTCATGCTAATCTGTAAGTTAGCGCATCAATCTCGTATTCGGGTGGCGTGCACGCGGATCATAAAACCTTGATATACCCACCGGCATATCACGCTGTAGGACTTCTGCATCAGTCGCTTTTTCTGCTCGCTTTTCTATCATTCGTTGCTCCGATTCCGTGAGAGTTTATCATGTCATTCTTTAGGTTTTGGCCGAACCCGAGGCTTTTTAAGCTTGTTGCTGATACCTTTCCAACGTAACCATGCCCAAAATAATCACGGCTACTAACTTGGCAATGACCGACGCAGCATTGCGCAATTAACGTCGAATGTCTCGCTCCAGCTCCAGCTTCTATTCGTTTCTTCTTCTTCATTCTTGAACACCATGCTCTGGCGTCCGGCACCGCCTTATAGTGGGCGATCAACCAGAATAGGTACTGTACATGATGCTAAGAATGGGGGTGGAGCCATCATTGAGAAGATACAGAGTAATGAATGTTTCTCTCGAGTACTGCTTGGTAACACTCACAAGTTTGAGACCTCTGGCGTACTGTGAAATTGCGCTGCACGCCGCTGGCGGGTCGAGATTGCGTTGCATGATTAGAGCAATGTAGCAGCCAATTCAGCGCATCACGGCAGTCTCAACGAGTGAGACTGCCGGAAGATTGTGCCGCAGGAGGCTGACTGCACGTGCGATTCTTAGTAATCTTCAGAAGTCTGGCAGTATATAGCACCGACGTTCTGCCGAAGTATGCCACAAGACACGCCCTCACAGAACGCATCATGTCTCAGCCAAAGCTCTTCACATCTATCATGGTCGGTGACGCGATACTACAGCACCGCGTCGTGATGGCCCCGTTGACGCGCTTCCGCGCAACCAAAGCGCATGTCCCGACGCCACTCATGGCCGAGTACTACGCACAGCGCGCCAGCACGCCCGGCACACTCATTGTTAGCGAGGCGACCTTCATTGCCCCGCAGGCAGGTGGACATCAACACAGCCCCGGCATCTGGAACGACGAGCAAGTTACCGGCTGGAAGCATGTACGTCTGCTCTTGGAAGTGATTAGCCCAACCGTCACTAATCCATGTTACACGATTTTATAGGTGACGGACGCCGTCCATACTCAGGGATCTTACATATATCTACAACTGCAGGCCCACGGGCGGGCAGCTAATCCAGTTGTCCTCCAAGAGGAAGGCGGATATCCCTATGTCTCTGCGTCTGACGTGCAGCTGTCGGGAAAGCCCTTCCCGCCGCGTCCTTTGACAAAGGAAGGTGAGCATACTTGCAGTGAATTCTCGGTCCATTCCCATGCAGGACTGATGCCTCTTCCAGAAATCAAGGAGTACATCGATCTGTACGGTGCAGCAACGAAGAACGCCGTCCGTGCCGGTTTC